ACAGCACAGCCAAAATAAAAACAAAATAAAACAAAACAAAAAATAAACTAAAATAGGGAGATCCTTGCAGAATGGTAGGCCTGTAACACGGACTTCACTCTGATTATGACTGCAGTTGTCGACCCAGGGACGCACACTAGAAGCCTGAGAGCAAGAACACCTTGCCCGAGGGGGGTCGTCCAACTTCGGTGTGCCCCAGGGAGCTCGCCACATGCAGATTCCAAGACCCCGCCCCACAGAGTCTGACTCAACACCTGGGGTCGGGTTAGGGAATCTGCATCTTAAGTAAGAGCCCAGGTAACTCCCACTGGGGAAACACTGCATCCAGCCCAAGGTCAAAGACACCCTGGAAAGCAGGTCTGCCCGGGAGGAGAATGTGTGGTCATGCAGAAACAGGGACAGATGTGGCTGGGGTCAACTGCCCATTTATGAGCCCAGGTGGACTTTGTCAGCAGTCAGGGCTAGGAAGAAGCGGCACGCCACAGATACCTTTGGAATCTCCAGTTTGCAGAAACAGAGAATAATGACTTGTCACCTTTGTGCTTTCCTCCCTGAGGGACAGAGTCCTGACAGTTGACTTAGGTCAGGATCTGGTTCCAACGTATCTGAACCGCGTGCCCCCAGGCCCACAACTGACTGCTCTGCATCTGTAAAATGGGAACAACGACAGCACTATCAGGATTCCTCGCACCGGCTCGTGGCCACCACTGGCTCATGGCCATCACTGAGGCTATCAGGAGCCGAGGCACTGAGCAAAGATTCCACAGTAGGATTAGGGAGGCACTTCTTAAGGCCTGCACATTAGAGGTCCCTTTCCTTTCTCAATCACAGGAAGGCAGGGCCTAGGACAAACAAAAACATCCAAGTGGAGACCACACACACGCTGGCCATACATCTCAGGGAAAAATAAGTGGTGGGCCCAGGCACGGAGCCTATGTTCTTAAGGCACCCTCGTCTTAATCAGAGTCTCAATCTTAATTCTGTTTTCATTTGCCTAACCACAACCTGGCCTCCAGGCTCTTCCTCTCTGGCCGGGATTCTAAGTGAGAGGAGAGGCAAGGCCATGGGGTGGGGGAGACGGAGAGCCGCACTTCCAGCTGGCTGATCTCTTGTCTCAGCCTGGTCCCTGCCTACTGAAGTAATTCAACAGTGTCACTGATTCAGATGCAAGAAGTCATCCGTCGCACATCATAGCTTCATTGCAAAATCATTTGGGGAATTTCGGGTGAACCCCAAAGCTTTCTCTTTCTCAGAAATAATATTAAAGTAATTTCTGCTCCACCCCAGCTCTATGGAAAATGCAGACAGACACATTGTCCTACTGTAGACCGAGAGCTCTCCTAGACTGCACTGTCATCCCTGGGCCCTGTGTCGGGGACGTGGCAGGTATGGCCTGAAGGAGCGAGTGAGCCTGCTGTCCTGCTCAGCGTTGTGTGGGGAATCTCTCCCTGCTGAA